ATTAAAAAATAACAGTGATGCAAATCACATCATTTGATTGAAAAATCAAATGATTGAAAAATAACAGTGATGCAAATCACATCATGGCCTAAATACCAGGACCCAAAGGAACTGTCAGGGAACAGACAGTATCGTACATGTTTCAAGCTATTGATTGTAGAAACCAGTACACATTTGACACTGAGCCTTACACAGTACTGGTTACTTCAAAACTCAGTATTTGCAGAGTGGCATTTATTTGTATAATCAGATGAATCTTGTTTCCTATTGCAGTAATTAGGAGGATAGAGCTATAGACTCATCATATAGATATGATTCTTTTCAAAACAGTTATAACTCAGTGATGATGTAGTAAGCCTTGTTATGGAACTTATGATAAATAGATCTTATGTAAAGAGGTTTTGAAACTGAATGCTATCATAATGGTATGGTTGATCACTTAAATCTTTTCATTTCTTCTTGCATCCTCAAAAGAGGAGTTTATTTTAACAAGAAATTGCACTGCTATACCATGCTGTTACCACTCAAACATAGCTTGGGAAACAGGCATTTGAGTTCTAAACCATCCATTCATCTTCTGTGTTAGTGGATATAAGCAGGTGTTGAATGAAACACCTTGTCATGAATCCAGAACTATGTCTAAAATGGAGTTTCAGGTTGTGTTACAGTTTCTGTGGCATTTGGTCAAGTTAATTTTTTTAAATGGGCGGGCTGTGCTAAAACAGGGATCTCCAATTTGGCAGAATACACAAATTTGTGATTTATAATCTTATAAGTAAAAACATGGATAGTCATGGTCAACAAAAGCACATTGGAGCTGTGACGTCACAGCTTCTGATTGGTCAGAAAAGTAATAATGATAAGGCTGATCATGAGATGATCCCATTTTTAATATAGTCAACCCTGATGTGCATGGTTACAAGCAGATCAAATTATCTCATATAAGTGATCGTAAAAACAGTAAATTGTATTTGATAACATGCACTTTTGTATTGACTATTTAAAGAATTTCTAGTGGAATTATATGTTGAATATGATGATGTTCCACTCGTGTTGGGAGGTTAAGTCATAGAAAGTGTTTACAGAGATTTTTTTTATTTATGCTAAGAAATTGATTTGTTTATGAATGAGAAGCAGAAATCATTTTTAGAATTAAGTAAGGATGAGTAGTTGTTAGATTTATGTTTTTTAGTGGAAACTATATCCAGTTTAACTTAATAAATTAAATATATCTACTAAAGAAAGATAATTTAATATTCAACGCTTTTAATCAGAGCAAAGCATTTCAGGAAAAAGTATTGTTATTCGCATCACAATTAAAAAATAATAATATTCAGTATTTTCCATTATTGAAAGAATTTAAAAATTTGGAATGTGGCAATAATTCCAAATAAATGCTCCAAAGAAAGAAGGAAACTTATGACTGCTTTTGATAATTGATTTACTGTAATTTAGGCAAACAGCATAAAATATCTGAGCTTTATTCAACTCCTTTCCATGCTGACAGAGTTCGCTCCAGAAAAATCTCTTAATGGAATTAAGTGATTGCAGTGCAATGATGAATTGAAATACATTTTTCAAACATCATAGTCAAAAATTGATTTTTATACAAGTAGTACAAAAAATTGCTCGTTCTTTTGGATCAACTTATGTCAGCATTCCCTTTCCCCCCCCCATCTTAACTTAAACAAACCATGGGCATCATTAACTGACAAAAACCTGCAACATCAGTTGCAATGAGCAAATATAAGTGTTGAGATTGAATTGAAAACAGTAAATGAAAGAAAAGAGAAACAGTATTGTACTGGTTGCAGTAAATATAATATTATTCGATTGAGTTATGTATAGTCATAAATGTTTAACTGTTCTATTGTTAATTTGTGAATTATAATAAAAGTTATAATATATATATATATATATTATTTAATTTTCACCTGAAATTTATTTGTATATCTATATAATGTGACCTGCCAGAATAAAATGCATTTCCAAAACAACCCTGAACAGGTGTGTAGTATAGGATGACTGATATGCTACTGAGAGAGTGTCTGAATTTGTTGGTTGTACAGTTTATTAATGCTGTAATGCTGTCTCTAATAGCTTGCTTAAATAATTTTTAAATAATATTATGGTTGAAATGTTTTATAATCAATAATTCAGGCATTTTTCTCATTACTAAAGTAACTGCTTGCTGTAATATTAATTTAAGAGGCTTATGTATAGTTATTATAGTGTTTGAATTGCAAAATATAAACTTTTATGGAGGTCATTCTGAAATTTTTGAGAAACGTGCAGACGATCAGTGGCATAAAAATAATAATGGTTAAAATGGAAAATATGAACTGTTTTAGCCTAGCAGACGAATATTTATTGGCCAATTGCAAATAGTTTAGCGTAGAATAAATTCCAGGCAGAAAGAAAAATGGAGTTGAAATGAAAACATTATTGATGATGGACATGATTTTTTGTGATTTTAAAGTGGGATTAAATCAAGAAGAGTGTGTTCAGTATCAACAAATAGCATTTGAAAATGAAGATCCATCTCGTGCTACTGTATTCAGATGGTTTACAGAATTTCACAGATGTCACAATTCTCTTCAGGATGAAGAAAACACTGAAAGTCCGTTGTCAGCAATAATCCCAAATAATTTGTCTGCCACACAGAAAATATTAATCGATGATAATTGCTGCACCTGCCAAATGATGCAGGTGAAACTTAACATTGGATTTGCCTCTATACATAAAATTATTCTTGAAGAATTTCATATGAAAAAAAGTTTGTCGTTGGGTTCTCTATAATTTAACTGAGTACCAAAAAGAGGAGCATATCTGAATCAGTTAAGAAACCGTTAAACTATGTGGCCAACACATTATTTCTAAAATGTAACTGGTGATGAAACATGCATACCATATTTTTGATGTTCCAACATACTAGAAAGTAAAGTATGGATCTTTGAAGATGATCCCATTCTCACGATAGTGAAAAGACAATACGCCATGAAAAAAGTAATGTATGCCATTTTCTACAGAAGTACAGGTGTAGTTTCAAAGGCATCAAGCTGCAAGGATAGAAGACAGTCACATGTAACCGGTACACCACTAAGTGTTCGAGAAATTCTTCAAGAAGTGAATGCTAGAAGGATGCACCACCATGACAGTGCATCTTCTCATTCAGCAAGATTGACAGTTGAGTTTCTTGAACAAAAATGAAGTGATGGGACGTCCACCCTATTCAACCGATCTAGCTATGTGTGTTTTTTGGCTATTTTTTAATCTAAAAAAAAGATGGACATTGTTTTCATTCCAAAAATGAGATTAATGAGGCTATAAATGCATTTTTTCATCGGTTAAAATGTTAATATAGACAGTGGAGATATTAGATCAACACATTTAACAAAGTTTTTATTGAAAGTAGCTTTCTCTTATTTAGAGATGCATTAATTCAAATTTTGAATGTTACATTGCTCAACACTGAAAATGCAGCACCATGACAATTTGGCCATATAAATATGCACATTTCCGGGAATGCGTAACAGAACAAATAATGCAAATGATGTAAAATGTAAGTTGGTCCCGTGGTTATAGCACAAGATAAAAGGGATGGAAATGATCGATGAACTAACTCTGCTACTTAGGGTATTCAAAATTGCGAGAAAGACACGTGTGAATGAAGAGATGCCTGGACGTTTGGCAGTTCCAGCAAGCAGACTATTTTATAAGGGGCCAAACTGTATGGCTAGTTGTTCTTACTGACATATTGCTACTGAAACATACATAGATGTGTCCACTGTGCATAAAATTTGGTCTAGATGGATTACTGAAGGAAATCTAAATAGTTGCAAAAGACTAGGTCTATCTAGATGTACTACAGAACACATAGATCGAAGCATATAAAGAGAACCAATGGCAGCCCCACAATCACTACTATGAATATTTTGCAGAATGTGCTGGGAACTTTAGATGCTCCAATATCTGGAAGAAATGTTTCTCAACATTTGACTGAAAGGCGGCTTTGCACACAAGCCTCCCTTTGCCTTTTGCTGCCATTGATATCAAAGACTGCGATAGTATTATCAAAGAGCCACTTAGACATCTGAATTGCACAATGTAGTATTCAGTGACTAGTCTCAGTGTTGTTTAGCTGATAAAAGTCACCAGTAAGAGTCTGGAGGTGTCAAGAAGAGAGTCATTTCAACTACTATTGCTCAACACCACAGTGCTCATTAGTGGGGTGTAATGATTCGGAGTGCCATCAGTCATGATAGCTGGTCATCCCCATTAAGCATCAAAGGCACATTAATGGCATAGTGATGCATTGATGAGGTGCTGCATCTGGTTGTGCAACCTTACTTTCAACAGCTGCAAAATTATACTTTTCAGCAGGGCAACATGGCATTCGTTATAGCTGACAAGCCTTGTCACATTTCCCATTGCTTCCTTAACCTGTAGTGTCTCCTGACCTTTCATCGATTAAGCATATCTGGAACATGACTGGTCGTAATAAGTCTGCTCTGCTGCAGCCATTATTAGAGGATAAACTTTGAAAGAGGGTTCAGAGCATATGGATGTCCAACCTTCAGGAGATTATCCACATACTGATTGAGTCTGTAGCTTGCATTGCCATGAGAAGTGGTCATACATCTTACTGATTCCCTGCTTATCTCAGCATTGTATAAATTTAATATTCCATAAATAACATTACATATTTATATATGCTGTCTGTGTATCAACTGACAACACATTCTACTCAATCTTTCATGGTGTTTCATTTTCTATGTTGGGCAGTGTGTGTTAGTTTGTTAGATATTAGCTTTTCCTAATATTCATTGAATCAGTGTGTAGATGAAAGAGAGTTATGCAGTTATGAATTTTGTGCAATCAAAATTCCATGAAGCATACGGCTGAATTGTGTTTTAATTTTTAAAATCATTAGTTATAAGAAACTAACAGGAAAGCAAATTTGTTGTATTTTTCCTCTGTAACATTTATACTTATTTTAGGTTTTATGGTTGCTTTCATATGATCAAAATTCACGTCTTGCTGCATCTGTCATGAAATATGGAAAGGATATACCACCCTTGCATTGGATTCCATGGTTGCCTCAACTCTTTTCTGCTCTTTCCAGTCATGAAAGGCCTTATATATCTGAAATTATAGAATATGTTGGTTGGACATATCCACAATCAGTCTACTTTCCCTTGCAATCTTTAATTACAAGTTTAGAACTTGATGCAAAATGTAAGTAGTTAAAATTATTACTCCTAAAAGATTTATAATAGATTTATTATTGTGTAGTTGCAGCTCTGTTTTATTTTATAACTTTACTTTAAAGCTTCCAATCACCTCTTCAGAAAATGATGTAAATGCTTAAGTGTATTACGAGATCATTTATGTGTGTGTTTTGTTTACGTATCCTTATGTGTGTCATCTTAATTACTTGTTTAATATTCATCATGATCTTCAAAATGGGAATAGCCTCCATCTTTAATGCTAAAACATTCAAAATATTAATTACCTTTGTTAGCTTGCTTCAACCACAAATCGATGTGTCATTAAGATTAATTTTTTTTTTAAATTCTCTAAATATGAATGTTGCATAGGCACTGTAATGTCAGGAACTTTCAGGTGGAAGATAGGAGTCAGTTTGTTTTCATAACATTTTTAGTTAAATTCCAGGTTATAACAAGATCAAAAATAATATTTAAAGCAATGTCACAGCATAATTGTTTTGAAGAGAGAAACAAATCTTTCCAGACATGTCTTACTCCATCAGCATCTTAAACAATAAAACCCATCACTTTCAGCTGCTTTTTTTCGCAGGAAACTCACACATGGCAGGGAAGAAGTCCAATTTCACCTTCAGTACTTTTGCTGGCAGCCAAAAACATCCCCAGTGACTAGCTGGGAGGAATGGAGTTTTTCTCATAGGAAAAGAAGACTCAATAATTGTATGTACACACTATACATCATCACTACACCTCCATGGTTCAAAGCTGTCTTTTGTTTTGTTTTTTGCGGGGGGCAGAATTTTCCATTAGGTAATAATGCTTTAAACTTAAATGTCTTGTTCTGAATTTTTTCAGTTTGAATAACTCTTAACGTTTCCTTTATTCTTCATTGCTTCTTGTTTTTAATATTTGTATGTACTACATTGTACAATATTTTTCTGATATTTTAGGAAATTTATCCGAAAATGCTTACTTAGCTTTGTGCCTTACAGTCATCAAATATTTTCATTTATGTATAGCTTTTATAGCAAGCATGTTTCTTTTAGTTTTTAAATCTTCCATACATTGTTTCTCAAAATTTAGTTACTCTTATATATATAAGCTATTTGTAAGTGGTGATAGAGTTCTGCATTGCTCCCGTCTTTTCTTCCATACTTTTATTTTCTATGGTACTTATAGTCCTTAACAGTTTGCAAAATACTCTTTGTATGTTCATGGAATTGTTTTCTCTTAAAACAGTGTTTCTTAAACTTTGTAAATTTGAAGACCCCTTTCACCTGAAATAAATTTGATCGGATCCTTAATCAGCATAGGGCTGAACATTTCCATGTATACAAAATATTTATTTTTGCTATATGAATTAATGAAATCTGAAATTCTGTTTACAAAATTTTCAAAAATTAACTTTGTTATAAAAATGTTTTTAATGTCTTATGATGATATATTTTTGAAAAACGAAATCTATTTATACCTTTACCATAGAGAAAATGGTACTGCTTCTTAAATACTAAATGTGCAATATCTAGTTCAGTATTTTCAGCATGGATGGATTTAAATTGACATTCAACAACTTTCAATATTTTATGTGTAGCCAGCTCTACAAAAAAAAAAATTTGCTCGTATATATTTGTGCAATTGTTTGATACCTTTTTCTGCCAATTCTGAGTATATATTATTTGATAAAGACTAAAAAGGAGAACAGTTATCCTGCTTGAAAGCAAATTTCTTTGAACCAGCGCCCAAGTGGTAAAGTGGCTAAACACTGGTAGTTCGGTCCGAGCTTTGAATTCCGTGAACGAGCATTTTTGTAGTTTTGAATGGGTGTTTTCATAGTTTTTCCCATGTGTAATGTGTATACGAGCCAGTTTCTCCTCAGAAAGTCCTCCACGAAGGCATCCCTACCCTTAGGCAGATAGCCCTCAAGACTTTGCCATAATCATACACACACACATTCCAGAGGTCTTGGAACCATCACATTAAAAGTCTGCAAATGGATCTTGTTATAAAAAAAATCAATGTTTTGATTGCTTGACTCTTGACAGTGAAATTAATTATAATCAAATGAATTTCAAAAATGAAATTTTAGTGTGAATAATTGAAATTTCATTTTTTAAAAAGTCAACACAACTGGTGTTTTGAAAATTCTCGTATTTTACAAATGAAAGTTTAAGAATCACTGCTTTAAAATATTATTTTAACTATTCTCTTTCTTGTTATTTATTAAAATTCTTTTATCCCATTTGAAACAAAATTAATATGTCAGAAATTGTTTTGAAAAATTAAAACAATTAGAAGTTGGTAATAACTTAATGTTAAAAGCGGCAAACAGTTATCTTAATTACCCTGACTTTTCTAAAATACATATAGTATTGTGTATAAAATTCAAATGATCTTAAACAGACAATCAAGAGTTAGGAATTGTTTGTGTAAAATCAGTTGCTGAAATTATAGCATTACTTCTAATAAACACAAGAACAACAAGATTTCCTTTAGCTAAAAGGGGAAAAAAAGTGTCTTCTAACTAGCCTTTCAAAATATATTGAATGTGTTTGGGATGTTGTGAAGAAATAAAGTTTTATGTATCAAAACAGTGCCAAAAGTTATTCAATGTCATCAGCACCAGTAATTCAGTATCAAGAGAAATAAAAATATCATTATCAATTATGACTACTGTTGTCATACATTCAAATTTCAGATAACAGTACAGTGGAAAGCTATCACATCAAAGAAAGTTTTCAAATGCATGTGAGACAGAGTGGAGAATGAAGATATTTAGAAATTTATTTCAGTATTTTTCTTCTGTTTTACATATTTTATATTAAGGGTTTTTCTCTTTTCTTTTTTACTTATATTTCTGAAGTTAACTAGGGTACATTAACTGATTTAAGGCTTTCAAGTATCCCATCTGATGAGTAATATCTACTTGTGTTATATTATTCATAGCTTTAGTATCCCATTACTGTCTTTTTAATATAATTTTGAACCAACTGTAATAAAAAATATGTAAATAACATTTGATAATATTTACCAAAACATTTATTAAAAGCAGATAGCTTGAATACTACATTGCCAGACATGCCTTCTGCTTCATGAATAAAATTTAAGTTAAATATCTGTTAAATCTACAGATAATAAAAATATTTTAAATGTGTATTGATTTAACTGTCACTGACAGTAAAGATTTATCTCAAGATTAAAATCATCAAATGTTATAACTATTATAACAAACATCAACATCAAATGTTATGTATTAATGTATTATAACAAACATCAGCATCAAATGTTATAACTATTATAACATTAAAATTTAAAGTCAAAAATAGCAAGTCACAGTAATAAGTTGTAGATGGTCAGGAAATAAAGTCAAAATAGCAGCCATGTGTGCATTCCTTCCAAACAAAAATTCCCATCCTTTTTTTGCTTAGGTTTCAAAGTTTTTAAATTAAGGTCATTTTTTATTAAAAGTGGGATACTGAATTGTACTCTGCTAATCTTGTATTTTCCTGTTTTATCTCAAATGTTCCATAAATTACATAACAGAAATTGAAAATAATTAAAATTTCTATCTCAAATTTAGTAATTTTATAAAAACCTTTTTTAATTTAATATTGTAAATAATAAAATTATGGTGATATGTGTCTCAACTTTTATTTGAATAAAATGACTTTATTATTTTAGCCATTGAATCTGCTGGATCTCCATGTGATGTTTTCCCCCAGGCGCTTCATTTGCAACTTAACATATGCATTCAGTTATTTGAGTTGCTAAAAAGAAAGCATTTTAAAGTGTTTTCTACATTACGTCAAATAAGTGATCAGGTAATAAATAAAATATATCTCTTTTTAAACATTCTAGATTTAAATCATCTTTTAAACATTCTAGAATAATTTTTATTATGCAGTATGATAGTAGCTAATAACAGATTATTACTTCAAATTTAACATAGGAATGTATGCTATGTCAATCTGTTACTAAAAACCTAAATTTTTATTTTGTCTTTGATGTTAACTTTAATAAATTTGTAATGCCACCAAAAAAAAAAAAAAAGTATAAATTATTAAAATTTAAATTGTGCAAATTCTGCTTCCCCACCCCTAGTGATTTCAGCGTAATTTTTCTAGTTAAATTTTATTTGATCTGAATTTTCATATCTTCTGTAGACAGTTGTAGGACTTTTTGTGAAGATTTAACCAAAATTTAATCAGATAATATCTATAATTTGTAATTTTGTTTTACATCAATAAGTGATGTATTGTTAAGTTTATTTTCGTAGAAGTATGTACATCAATTATTAGTTTTATTTTCATTAAATTGGAAGTTAGTTTGATGAATAAAAACTTTCTCTTCTCAGGATTATCTCAGTATGAATGTGTAAATAAATTACAAAATGAAATTAGCCGAAGAACAGAACACTTAGAACTTACTAAATATTAATGTATCATCATAATACCATCGTAAAAAGTTCTATAACCTAAATCATGCATTTATAAAGTGAATTTAAGTTTGTTTAAAGGTCTTTTGAAATGGCTTCATGGGCAAGCATGAAAACCTCACAGAAACTCCCGGTTTTTGCTTAAAAATATTCCAGTTTTTCCTATTTGAAGGTTGACAGCCATACTGTCTTCAAATGCTGAGCTGAAATGAATATTGAATATTAATGTTATGCAGTAGTAGACTTTAAGAAAATCAAAGCAGTGGTTAGATTTAAAAAAAAAAAGAAAAAGAAAATTATTTTCTACAGTATTTTCAATCTTTAATGTTTTGCTTGATTTTTATGCAAAAATAATACAGTCAAAAGTTGTTAATCCGGACACCCATAATCTGGAATGATCTATAATCCAGACCACAAAACTTCAAACTTTCTGCGCATGCGTCACCGCATAATGCATTCGCTCATGTGCATAGGCGTTTACGCATGTTTTTAATAGTTTTACGTGTGCACATGCACATAATAGGTTTACGCATGCACATTTAATGTATAACGGACGGTATAAGCTAAAATTATCTATTTCAGTTTTAGTGTTGCAGATTGCGTTGTTTCTTAATCTTCGAATTGGATCTGGCTTATTATTTTTTGCAGACTGTTAGAGCAATTTTATAAAAGTAAGCTTGAACTGTCAATTATGGCAAATAGAATTTCCGATGCTGGAGCTGCCAAAGGATCTACAAAGTGAAAATATGTTTCGATGTCCATCAAACAAAAAGTGGAATTGCTGGGAAAAAAAAAGGATAAAGGCATATCCTTTGTTTCTCTAACCATTCCGAAATCTGTTTATTAATTTCATGCTGCTCTGCGGGGTGGGGGTCGCGGTGTGCAATGAATTGGAAGTTAATCTGTCAGCACTATCCTTATCTTCAGGGCAGATGTTTTTATTTTATTTGGCTTATAATTCCTTACTAAATGTAGTATTTCATCTCGATGTACTCCGTCTTTGATATGATTTACATCAAATTCCTTGTATTATAATCGCTTCCGATAGTGAAGAAGTGACACAGAGGTTTGAAAATGAAAAAAATTCGATGACAATTATAGGACTTGAAACAGCGAAATTTGTAAACTGAAAAGAAAGTATGTTGTTTATAGAATTAAAGAGAAAGTATATCACATAAAACGAAGCAACTTAAACAACTTATATTGAAAGAATGTTAATCAAGTAAACAAATAAAATTAAGCTTTTTTTTTTTTTTTTTTTTTTTTTTTTGTAAATTTTGATACCCGTAGATCATAAGGTTCTTTATTTCATAAATTACGGTTTCATATTTTTTATTTTATAATTTCTGCATGCCATCTTACCAGATTTAAACTGATGATCTGTAATCCGGAAAAATTGATAATCCGGAATCGCCGATGTCCCGATGAGTAGGATATTTAAAGACTTCTGACTGTAGTAATATAATATTTATTATAAATTTTAATATATTTTTTGCAAATAAAAAAAATTTATGATAAATAATAAATTTTCTCACTTAGAAATATGCAGTACACAGTTTTGATATTTGATTACACAGTGGCATAATCAAAATATCAAATGTCATTTAAAAGAATTTAATACATGATCAAATACAAGTGTCTAAAATTCTAAAAGGAAAAGAAATTTGAGCTAAATCCTAGCTTATGATTTATAAAATCCTAAGATTTACCTAAGTAATTATAAAACCTTTTTTTTTTTTTTAATCTTCCTGCTTGTTTATTTTCAATAGCAGTAATTCTTGTGCTTTAAAAAATAATTAATGATTCTTTAAAAAAAGAAAGAAAAACCTTTGTTTCCATAAGTATTGTACTTGCGTGTAAACATAGGTATTCCTGTGTGTAAAGTGATGTATATATTTGTTTCTGTGTAAGGTAATGTGTCTCAAAATCCAATTATTTATAATTGCTGGTGTTTAATTATGACTCTTATTAAAGGTGTAAAATTCCAAATTCATGTACTGCCAGTTTAATTTTTTAATGTGTTAATGAAATATGCATACCAAAAAGAACTAAAGATTGAGCATAGCCGTAGATAAGATTATAAAGCGCTGGAACGTAAATATTAGAAGTGAAATCACACGTTTGCAAGGTTTCCTAAGTGTGAGAACACATGCAGCCTGCAAGTAGCTTAACGAAGGTTCGTCACAAGAATACATTTCAGGTAATAAATTGAAGAGAAAATAAAATGGATGAAGTGCTAATAGAAAATTGTAAATACACTGCTGGCCACCCAAATTGCAACACCAAGACAAGAGATATCACAACAAAATTTATTTAGTAGATAACATGTTGACCAAGTATCAAATGATTAAATTTATAGACTTCTGTGAAGCGTGGTTTCTTCCAGAATCAGTAGCCAGAGTAGCCACTGTTGTTGGAGATCACCGCTGCCACACGCCTCGGCATTGATTCAAAGAGACTTTGGATGTGTTCTTGTATGGTACAGCAGACCAAGCAGCTTCCACACGTTGCTAAAGTTAATCTGGTGTGGCAGCTTGGGATGTAATCTGGGTCAGTCGTTCGGCAACCATGGACCAGGTTTTCTATCGGCGAAAGATCCGGAGGGAGGAGCCGGCCAGGGAAGCAGTTCAATCTGGTGATTGACGAAGAACCCTTGGACAATGCATGCCACCTGTGGTTGTGCATTATCCTGTTGAAATGTGGCTGTGGGCAAGCCCTAAAGATAAGGAAGGACAACTGGCTCCAACAGCTCGGAGATGTAGTGCTGGCTGTTTAAAGTACCGGCAATGTGTATTAGAGTAGTGCGAAAGTGATATCCAATACTGCCCCATATTATAATACCCGATGCAGGACCAGTGTGGCGATGCATAACGCAGCTGTTCAGCATCCTCTTTCCACGGTGTCTCCAGACACGAATACGACCATTGTGGTGTTGCAGACAGAAGCATGACTCATCAGTAAAGACAATTTCATTCCATTCTGCCATCCACATCCTTCTTTCATCGCACCATTGGCGGTGGAGATGTCTGTGGTTCTGCGTCAAGGGTAGATGAAGCAATGGATGTCTTGCGGACAGACCACTCTGTCCGCAAGACACTGTCGAATGGTATGCGCAGACACTGGATGATGTGTTACAGACTGAATATGCTGTGCTATGGTTCGTTATGTGACTGAGCAATCCATCACTGCCATGCGCACAATGTTCCTGCCATCACGTGAAGTGGTGCACTGAGGTGGATGCGATCAAACACGTCGGTCCGTCTTACCCTCCTGCATCCAACAGTCACATATCCACATTACAGTTGTTTGGTTTCATCCAACACAACTACCGATTTCCCTGAAAGATAATCCACACTCTCAGTAGGCCACTATCCTTCCTCTGTCAAACTCAAATACTTGATCAAACGATGATCGCTGTTTACTACAAGGTATAATTGGTCTTTCTTCTTTTTTTTTTTTTTTTTTTTTTTAATTAGCAAAATTGTTGAACTTAAAATCATCAAAAACGCCAAGCCTTAAATAGCACTTTGAAGTGGCGCCACAGGCGCGCATGATGTGTGTCTGCGCTGAAATTCTAATCATTTGCATATATCACCTTCGATAATGCATGTTGTAAATTTCATGTTATTTGCATGCTTCCTTCAGGGTGTTGCATTTATGGTGGCCAGCAGTGTACTTCGTGTTGCTTCAGCTTCTGAAATATTTCCTTCAACTTGCTCTGTTTTGGAAAGGGTGTTATTTTAGTAATGCTTCCAAAATGTATGTTTTGAAATAGATCACTGTAATTCTTTTGTATTTTTTTTAATTAGTTCGATTATTTTGAAGTGATATCAATGGAAATTATCTAAGCTTCATTTCAGAATGTAATTTTTATAATTTATAATTTTTTATATATCATATATATATATATATATAGATATATATTATATTCTCTCTCTCTCTCTCTCTCTCTTTCTGTAGATAGAGCAGTTAGGAGAAGATGCGCTTGATGAAATGTTGAAGAAACTGAAACATATTCTAGCTTCATGTTATTCTCGTGCTTTTGATAGTATCAAAGATGAATCTACAACAGAGGATTTAAATAAAGTTGGCCATTTATTAAATGAGCTATTATCTGAACTTAAAAGATCCAAAGCTTCAGAAACTCTAAATGGTTTTAATTTTCATCACATTCAACAAGTCAGAGATCCTGTTGTTGAAAGGTTGCAGTCTCAGTTCATTGCTGAATTTAATCACAGGTATATATGGAGTACATTTTGTTTAAATTTGGAATTTTGGCATTTTATTTGCTCTGATAATAGTATTGCATATTTATTTTAATTTTCTGTGATTCTTTAAAATTTTTGGACTTTGTTAAATCAGCAAGCAGCATCCTAATAGAATGTGTCTTGACAATAAAATAGATTTACCAAGAAAAAATAAACTAATTTGCTTTGAAAATTTAAATCTAAATATTGAGTTCTTTGCTAATAAAGAGAAATTAATTTAACTATTATTATTTCAAATAATTTAATTAATTTGTTTGATAGTAAAGAGGAAATTAATTGGAATTAACTGGAAACATAGAGTATTTCATGCTGACACCTGTAATTTCATTCTGCTATCCCTAATTATGAAAATGTATTAAACATCAGTGTTGCTTTTAATAATTGATTCTGTCAAACATACCACTATCTTTATATATATATAAGCAGCTTAAGTGTTTGTCACTGATAGTTTACTGTTGCCACTCGGAAAAATGAGCGTGGAAATTAACATTTCTGCAGTTTTTAATTAATATCTTGGCCGATTAAAGTCGTACGAAGATGAGAATGGTATCGATGGATTTGGAGAATTTTTTTAAATCTGAGGATATGCATCTCTAATTTCAACACGGCGCTGTTCCATAAATATTCAAGAAAAAGAATTTGGCATGTAGCCAAATCCCTCTAATAGGGAAAACACAAGAAAGAAAGTAGAAAATATACAGAAAATGTAGGAGAAAATTGTTTTTACTTAATATCTTGGCTAATTAAAGTCCCACGAAGACGCAAATGGTCAAAATGCTGTGCCACGGACCTGCGGAATCCAACGATGTGCTTCGCTAAGCGCAGGAGCCAGCCATTTCGGAAGAGATGATGTTACTTCACCCCATATATATATGTGGCTTAAGAGTCTGTTTGTCGCCGATAGTTTATTAGCTGCTTGCGTAACTGTACTAGCCAATGGGGTGAAGTTGCCACGGCACAAGGTTGCCGTTTCAATTGAGACGTAGACAATTTCCTGTAAAACTTGCCTTTGCTATGACCCTGGGTAAATTCAGTTTCAATTAGCAGACACCTTTGCATAAATCATTTTAATTACAATTTATAATATCTAGAACAGCAGCGGTCATTTGGTATGACCGCCGGGCTTTCTAGTATAAGTGCATAAAATTAAGTGATATGTTTTGAGGGTTCCAACCTTTATCTAAGAGCTAAATGTGTAGGAACTTTGTGAACTGTAAGCAAATAATTGCTTTAGTTCAGAAACAGAGACATAAACTCAAGAAGGGTTTATTATCCTTTATTTCCCAAAATAAGAATTTAAGAGTTTGCTTTTTTCTCAGAGTGTACAAAAAAGCCTCCACTTGGGCTTGAAATCAAGAGTACGGAGAAATAAAACTTAACTAATGCTCAACTAAAAAGATGTAGCCAAAGCTATCAAAATTCTAAGTAGTTGGCCCCTAAATATCAACTAAACTGGCGATGCTATCAAGGGCCTGAAATGTGGCCGAGCGTAGTAATAGCTTAGAGAGAGTGTAGCCAGATGGCAAACATGCGCTAGTCAAAATCTCTGGCTCTCTAACGAAGTCAGTGGAATTTCTACTTAAATACCACTCTTACTCATTTGCATTAACCGCGATTCTTAAATTACATTTTGGTAGGAAATTGTAAGCTGAAATTAGGAGGGATAGGGAAAGTAGCTTTAACTAAAGATAACTGTTAAAAATGTAGGATAATCCTTACATGTTTTTGTATTAAGAATAATTTTACCTCTTGTGTTGTAGATTTTTTTTTTCTTTGTTTCGTTGCATCTGTTTGCAGAATATTAGACGTAATATAAATAAATTTGGTTCAATAGCTTTGTTAGCAATGCATTGATGGTGTGATTTTGCTAGTTGCGATTTGTAATCTAGCTTGTAGTTACTATCAATATTTATTGATTTGTAACCATATTTGTAGTTACTATCAATAACATCATAGCTTTTGATAGTAACTCTAATCCATATTAAAAATTGTTTGTCATTACTATATGTTAAACAAAATATTATATATTTTAAGTGTTATGCTATACCTTTTAAATGTCTTTTAAATATTGTAAATATAGGTGAACATGCAGTAAATATATGTCAAGCCTCACTAAAAACCTTTTTGAAAAAGAAAAAGAAGAAAAAAAAAAAAAAAAAAGTACTTCTTCACCTCCAAATGCATTATTTCAAGAAATCTTTTAATTGGGTAAACCTGATGTCCCATGTAGCATATTTATGAAAAAATATTCAGTGATGCATAATTGGATCCCAGTTTCAATTCTTGAAAATTAAGTTATTTTTTGTATTCACTTATGTATTTGTATTGATTTTCTTTTGGTTTTGAGCACTATCAGTTGTTAGGGCATTTCATTTGTAACAAGTAGTGCATCCAAGTAGTGTTAAAGGCCTTTTGAATTCTAATGCTGGCAGTAAATATATATGTAATAGATCTGTGTTGTAATTATCACCCATAAAGTGTAAATTTTTAAATATTATGTAAAGTTGTACTATTCTAAACAGATAAACATTTTGATATTTGAATTTTCAGTAAAGGTAATTGCAGTTAACTTCAAAATAGTCTGGAAGCAAAATAAAAAATTATGAGTGATACTGCTCAGCATATAATCCTTAAGCCCTTGCATAATATCACTTTATAGATCTGCTTTGCATTCACCTCATTGCTTAAATGCTATAAATAAATATCAGAATCATTTTCTCCAATTTTCTTTCTAAATATTATAATGACGAATTGTCTTATATATGTAGAATCATTTTGTTTCATGACCAAGAAATGATTTTATTCAATACTGATATTTAAACAAATCAATACTGATATTTAGCACACTTGTATATTCTCGCTTTAAAATGTTTTCAGTAGTGCTAACCCCGTGGCTTCTGTTGAAAAAAGTAACTTTTTCTAGATTTTATCTTTAGACTGGAGCAAGCAGTAGAGGATTAAACAAAAAGGTCCATGAAAGCTTATAATTTAATGGCCTTTACTTCTCAGAACTGCACCATTTCACATTGTTTCCGTTTATTCAAAATTTGTTTATGTTAAGATTTTCCCATAATGGAGTATCAGAGAAGACTTTTTCCTTGATATTAATACCTGCTTTTTCATCATTCTTCTGTCTTTTAACAAAAGGCAACTTTATACGTTTGCTGCTGTAAAGGGATACTGCAAGGTAACAAAGCCGATATTGTCTGTTTCTGAGTGAGTATGATGTCATAGATCTTAAACTGTAAAATTTCAAGTATTTAAAGGAGAAAAATGTGCAAGAAAACTTTTAAAAAAAGGTGCATATTTAAGTGCATCTTTTTTAATAGTTTTATTATTATTATTATTACTATTTTCTTTTAAATTTTTAAAAAGGTGTTAAAAGTATAGTGGCAAATCTATATTATGTATCCAATATTTACTTAACCCTTTAACTGTCAAGTTAATTTGAAGATTTGTGTACATAAATTGTCAATATTTTTATTGCAAAAATCAAATGTTCGTGGCGCAAACAAATGCAGCGCACTTTAAACATAAACCTCTATCCTTTGAAACCTTCAGTAAAGTGTTGCCATCTATTGAACTGAAGCCGAAATAAACTTCTCAAAATATATATTTGAGTGTAACAATACAATGCACTCAAAAAAATATTACACCGAGTAATACTCAGGCATGACATTTTGGAACACCAGTGCTGTGCCCAAGATCATTTCAGGCATGACAGTTAAAAAGTTAAGGAGTGCTGTTTTAGTGCTTTCAAAATCTAATGCAAATTTAAGATTCTTCTTGCATGACTATAACATTAATTGTTTCTCAATCAACAGTAATGACTGGACCACAAAAAATATGCTGAGCCTTCTTTTTTTTTCATTAGTACTTATACAGTCAAAAGTCATTAATTCGGACACCCATAATCCGAAATGATCTATAATCCGGACCTCAAAGCTACAAACTTTCTGTGCATGCGTTGCGTTAACGCATGTGCGTAAGACCTTTACGGCTGAGAATATGCATGTGTGCATAATACGTTTACGCATGCCGTTTAATGTATAACAGACGGTATAAGCTAAGCTAAATTATCTAATTCAGTTAATGTTGCAGATTACGTTGTTCCTTAATCTTCGAATTGGATCCGGCTTATAATTTTTTGCAGACTGTTACAGCAATTTTATAAAAGTAAGCTTGAACTTTCGATTATGTCAAATAGAATTTCCGATATATATTTACTAATATGTAAAGGATCTACAAAGCAAAAGTATGTTTTGAAGCCTATTAAACAAAAAGTGGAATCGCTGCAAAAAAATGGATAAAGGCATATCCTTTGTTTTTCCAACCATTCCGAAATCTGTTTATCAATTTCACCCTGCTCTGCGGGGGAGGGGAACGTTGCAGCGCTCAATGAACTGGAAGTTGATCTGTCAGCACTATCCATATCTTCAGGGCAGATGTTTTTATTTTATTTGGCTTATAGTTCATTACTAAATGTAGTATTTCATCTCGATGTACTCTGTCTTTTATATGATTTAAATCAAATTCAATATAAATATCACGAATACACATCAAATAGTTTTCTGGTTTCAATTTTCTAATTTCGACTATGCGTAATGTATGCTTTACGCATGCGCACGTTGAAAGAAATGTTTAATAAAGTAAACAAATAAATACTAAGAGTTTTTTTTTTTTTTTTTTTTTTTTTTTTTTTTTTTTTTTTATACCCTTTAGATCATAATTGTTTTTTATTTCATAAATTACGGTTTCATATTTTTAATTTTATAATTTCCACATGCCATCTTACCAGATTTAAACTGATGATCTATAATCCGGAAAAATCGATAATCCGTAATCGCCGAAGTCCCGACAAGTCCGGATTAACGACTTTTGTCGGTATTTTGAGACTCGAATACGCTTGCAGCAATTATTCATTTAGCTAATCTATAATTAATTACTTAGGTATATAAATAGATATAAACGCTCTTTTATAGGGTCTGGCAAAAAAGAACTCCATGATTTTGGAGCTAATAAAATCCAAAGGAAATAAGATATTTTATTTCTCTTAAAGTGCACATAATGCCATTTTATGTCAAAGGGCTTTTTATTTTAAACAAAACATCACTCAAATGGAGGTCTACATTGTGTATTCACTCATTAAACCTTTCTCAATAATTTTGCATGACTTTCAGAGTTACTTCAAGTGGAATCGCAGTAACTTCCTGTTGTATTTACTTTCTTAGAGCTGTTAAAGTTGCGCATCCAACAGTAGATGTTTTCTGTGTGTGTGTGCGAGGAACAGGGTCTGGTTGACAAAATGTGAAGTGGATGTGAAAGGAATGCTATATTGCTATTGGAACCTTCTGTTGTGCATAAACTGCTCTACAGTGAGAGCATGCTGTCCTCTTGGCCATTCGAAAACAAAATGTAAATCACTATTTGACAATATGTTTTCCATGAATGTACCCTTTCTCAAATTATAGAGAGAGTTATTTCCGCTGCTCCTCATAGGAATGCTGTCATGTCATTACAACATCACCTTAGTATGGTTCAGGAGAATGTATTTAAATGTCAGTAACATCCATGAGAAGGTTCTCTTCATGCCCACGAACACTAGGGTGGAGAGTTATGAGAAAAATTCTGTCTTCAAATGGCAAGTCATTGCCAGTTTTTACAGCTGATATTGTCAGCAGGAAAGGAAGAAGAGCTGCTTAATTGGTACAATTAAACACACATAAAGAAGTTTTTATTTCAATCAAAATATTTGATGCAATTTCATTGACTATTGTTGTCATAAGATAATCTATTTCTCTTTGCTTATGCTGTTAGTACAACAAGTACTAACAGCATAAACAACAAGACATTGAATGAATTCTCTATTTATTATTCACAAGATTAAATTCACATTAATCTAATGTCTACAATGGTACACAACTGTTAAGTTAATTTATTATTTCCTGAAAAAGTTTTCATTATATTACACTGATTAGAATCATCTCAGGGGTTTTTTATGTCTCTAAAATTGTATACATGAACATTGCAAATGATTATGTTATAGCCACTTTCAAAGTTTTTTTTTTTTCCCCCTTATTGATTTGGCTGTTGCTGAACCTATTAAAGTGTTAAAATGAAATAAGCTGTAGTTATGAGAATAGTTTATAAAGTGATGTTTTAAGGAAAGGTGGGTGCTAAATGGGAAGAAATGCAGAAGAGAAAACTGCAAAATGCATTTGTAGAGGTTGTGAAGTAGTTTAGATAAAAAAGATTAACTGGATTTAAAATGATCCAGGTTATGACATAAAATGCAAGATATCATTTATGAAAACAATCAACATTATTTTTTTGTAGGTGCAGTGCTTAATAATACATTCCATAATGATTACTGTACTCTCTGTATTATATCGTTGTAAGCTATGATCTTTGTTAGAAATACTTTTATTTTTGGTTCAGAAAATGTGATCTATCAAAATGTATTGAGAGGATGTGCAGCAAATGCTAAACTTACATTTTAAAATTTTTATAGTAATCCAAGGTATATGAAACTAAGCAAGGCAATTTCTAAACTAAAAGAGTGGATTGAGAAATTTGAAACTGCAAACAGTCTCAGAAAAAGGTAAAATTTTATAGATTGTTACGTTGGTTTTTTAGCTTAAAATTTAATTTTGAAAGCATACTATCTCACTATATTTAATTTTAGGTCTTTTGATCTTGTTGAAAAATGTGAATATCTTTCCCTTTATCATATAATTGATGAGGAAGTGGAAATATTTGGGGAATGCTTTCCAAAGGTTGGTACTAAAATTTATAACTCTAAACATTGTGAATTATGTTCTTTGTAAACACATGAAAGAAAAACTAGATGATAAATAAGTTTTGTACATTTTTATTTGCAGTTGCATTTTTCATTAATTTTGGGTTTGAGTAATATTTAAATCAATATAATATGATTTCATTATGAACCGTAGTGCAGTAAAAGCTTAAATGTCTAGAAAGCTTGGGAAATGCCAAATTTCAGATAGCTGAATGTATAAAAATAAGAATTCATGGTAGAAGAGCCAAATGAATGCAAGAAATTTGTGGACTAAAATTATGACAAAAACAGTCATCTTATTGGTTACTAAATTAATTACCAAAAGCCCACATTTAAAATTATGTAAGATTTTTGGAGGGGAATGCATTTAGACATAAAATTCGACATATTTCATAGTCCTTAAGCATGAAAGTTATGGATGAAGCCACTTTTTACATTTTTGGCAAAGTTAATCATCATAATTTACGATTTTTAGACACGGAAAATCCGCATGGCATAATGGAATATGAGCATGATTCTCCGGAGGTGAACATTTTCTGTGCCGTTTCCAACAACTGCGTTTTTGATCCTTTTTTCTTAGTGGAAAAATCGAATGACAGATGCATTTACCAAAATATGCTATCAGAGTGGTTTACCCTCAGTTGGAAGAAGTGGTTCCTGGCTTCATTCTGCAGCAAGACAGTGCTTCACCACAATGACAGAAAAACTTATGCTGGTACCTGAACCATTAGTGTACGTATTATTGAACACTGCGCAAAAGAAAAGGGAGGGACAGTTCTATATCTCCTGTTCTACTGAGCCAATTGACAAAATTCAAATTGCATTTTTCATGTCTCAAGCACGATTTAGGATATATATTAGATTTAGCGTTGTTCTAACATAGGTATTTTGACACAAAATCGGACTTTTTCTGAAATAATATACCAATTTTTTCTCATATTTCGAGACTACACTCAAATTATGCCTAGATATTAAATTTTGCAAAATTTGGTGCCAAATTTATGGAGAAATTCAAAAATTTATCTTGGCACAATTTTTTCAGTTTTCGCCAAGAATAATTCACTTGGCAAACTTCTTAATATGTGGCAACCCATTTTCCTTTCCCTTCCATTATGCCGGTGCGGAAAAAAAAGCACCTCATTCCTACCTTTTTACATTGTGCATGAACGGGAAAAAAGTCCCATTGTTTCTACTTCCAAATAATTTTAGAATAGTGTCTAAATCACATTTGATGTTTTATCGCTTTCAACAAATATGCCGAATTTCAAAATGCACCAATATATAAATTCACGTATATCTTCAGAAATTTTGAATAAAAAAACTTAAATTTTTTGCATGTATGCTTAGAAATACGGCTACTTTAATGTGATGGTGAAAATTTTTTTGAAAAAAAAAAATTATAAAAATTATTTTAAAAATACAAATTTTAAAAATAAATTATAAAAAAATGGGTGAATTTTATTTGGATTGAACCTGAATTTTGAAATGTGAAAGGAAGAATCAAGTAAGTTTAATATAAAAAGGGAGATTAATAAATATATACCAAACTCAATTAACATTGAGGAGCTAAAATTTTGAGAGCTAATTTTTTAAAAACTACTCATGCGATATTTACAAAACTTGGTAGTTTGGCATAATTTGAGTCGTATAATCGAAATATGAAAAAAAAAATTGGTATGTTATTTCAGAAAAAGTCCGATTTTGTGTCAAAATACGTATATTAGAACAATGCTATAAGACATATCCTAAGTCGCGCTTTCGAGATATAAAAAATGCAAGTTGAATTTCGTCAATTGGCCCAGTAGAATGGAAGATATAGAACTGTCCCTTCCCTCCCTTTTTTTGCACTGTGTACATTATCACCAGTTGGCCGTGCTCAGTTAAATGATAAGCCATACTGAAATGCTCAAAAAAAAGATATTCTATTACGAGTGTAGCAGGAACTGGAATACTGCATAGATATTTCCTGTGGCACGCATAAAACATCTATAGAATCTCAGATAACTACATTTTCACTCTATATTTGATTTATCAATATAAAGAAATTACAATGTTCACAGACATGCTTTCTTTTTGTCCCATTCAATATGAAACATACTGTAAAAAAATGCTTCAGATACTCTGAAGCCTATTTTATCTTCAGATACTTTTAATCTTTAATGAAAGTTTTTATTTATAACAGAATTGGTTCACGTGTAGCATGGCTGTTTACTTATGACCTAGTATAGCTGTTACCTGTAGCATGGCTGTTTACTAATTATGACTGCAACTTAAATGAGTTAAAATTATTATTGTAAAGCTTGAAATATCTATATACAGTCAAAAGTCTTTAATATGGACTCGTCGGGACTTCGACGATTCCAGATTATCAGTTTTTCTGGATTATAGATCATCAGTTTAAATCTGGTAGGATGGTATGCAGAAATTATAAAATTAAAAATATGAATCCGTAATTTATGAAATAAAGAGCAATTATGATCTAAAGGGTATCAAAATTTACAACAAAAAAAAGCTTAATATTTAGTTGTTTACTCTATTAAACATTTCTTTCAACGCGCGCATGCGTAAAGCATACATTATGCATAGTTGAAATTAGAAAATTACAACCAGAAAACTATTTGATGTGTATTCATGATATTTATAATGACGAGGAGTTTGATTTAAATCATATCAAAGGCAGAGTACATCGAGATGAAATACTACATTTAGTAAGGAATTATAAGCCGAATAAAATAAAAACATCTGCCCTGAAGATAAGGATAGTGCTGACAGATCAACTTCCAGTTCATTGTGCGCTTCGATGTTCCCCCCCCCCCACCCTTCCCATAAACGCATTATTCGTTTACGCATGCGCAGAAAGTTTGTAGCTTTGAGTTCCGGATTATGGACGTCCAGATTAAAAACTTTTGACTGTAATATGATTGTACTTTTTGAAGCAAATGAAAAATTGAAATAATAATATGCATGTTATATAATAATTTTGTTGTCTTTTCTACAATATGTATATTTTCCCTTTCCTGATATACACTACTGTTTCCCAAGGTTTGGGTATATATTCAGATTTGGAAATAAGTACAATGTCATGTCATATAAAATAGAAAAAGTTGCTTAAGAATGTTCACAAACAATGTATAAAGTATGTTTTCAATTCTAAAGGTATTAATGTATTAAGAGAAAATGTATCATGTTCATAGAAAGGTTGAGTAAGTGTTAAATGAAATTGCCTTTATGCTGTCTCTCTTGTATGTAATTTTATTATTTTAGATTTTAGTTATTTTTTTTAATTATTAATGAGTTTTCTAATAAATTAGAATAAAGATTTTTCTACCTTTACTAATTTCTGTTTACTGATCTTTTACATTGTTCTGTAATTATCATATTTCTCGATGAAACATAGTATTTTATTATTGACTAATTTTATCCTCTCTCTTTTAAGGATAAGGCACATTCTGTTCAAATATTTAGGTTCATGCCTTTGGTGAATATAGTTGACAAATATAACACTTACGCGAAGCAGCTTTGTGTTGAAGGAGATGATGGGAAAGTAAAAATGATTTTTCTGCTTATATTATTATTGTCGCAAATTTATGTAATTATTTGTGTTTGGTTTCTGTGTATCTTTATAGAGTTATGTAATAGTGTTATTTATTAATTGATCTAATGCATTTATATGTGATAATTTTATTGTATATTTTTATGTAATCAAATTTATTTCCAATTATTATTCTTGTGAGTTTCTATTATTGTTTTGTGTCACCATGTTAATGACACTCCGGAAGTTTCCTGAAAATGCACGTTCAAAGCCACATGGTGCAGTTTTTTTTTAAAGTTTTCAGCAGTCCTGGGTAGTATAAATACCAGCTGCATTGGAGCCAAGAGGCAGTCTATTTAATCGGTGGGATTTTTTTTTTTTTTTTTTTTTTTTTTTTTTCCCAGTCATGCAATTGTGATGAGCTTCTGCTTGGTGATTACTGCTTTAGATTTTGCTGTGTCACCAATTTTGTGATCTGCAATATTCTTCGTGTGTTAAGAGAATTTTCCTTATCTCTGTTATCCTATCCTTACTTTGTTTTACAAGCATTTATTTCTTTGAACAAAGTGTCAATTTTTTCCTCCTGTTCATCTGACATAATTGTTGAGAAGATCTCAATGCATCCATAGCATGCAACAGTATGCCATATTAAAGTTCCAGAGAACTTCTCCAATATTTTTCTTTAAATGGAATGTGCTCTTTCTTTATGTATTTTAAGCCCAGAAGGGAAGTTTTTTTTTTTTTAAATGGGCTATTGATCTTGAAACAGCATTTTGCATTGATTCACTATAAATGTTGGTTCACTTTTCAGACTGTTGCCACCAAATATTATCGCCCTGTATTATATTTAAAAAAAAATTAAATAATGCTGAATCTGTATGTACATATATATGTTCCTTGAAGTGTGAAACAACATGGTACCTGGGGCCATCAAATTTTGAATAGTGTAGTCCTCCACCCGAACATGTGAAGGAAGCCAAAATTTTGAATTTTATATAACATATTTTGTAAAACTTTAATGATTTTTTTATTGACAAATTCAATAATCTAAAAGCAAGCTGTAGCAGCACTGTACAGAATAAAACATTTTTATCTCTAGTGCACAAGACTGCCTATCGGAAATTCTAAAGAAATGTTGGTTTTAAATGCTTTGTGATTTTGCTATTGAATCAAATTTTATGTGGCTTAAGTGCCAGAAACATGATATTTAATATATAAAGTAGACACACAAAATGTTAATAATAAAAAGACAAAAAAAATTATAAAATTATCTTAGTAAGAGAACTGAACATTGATACGATGAACTGAGAAAAGACTAATATATGCCAGCACTTAACACTGCATTGGGAATTCTAAATGTATACTGCTATGCTACTTTTGAATATTTTGTAGTTTTGCTGCTGTTGAATTATATATGGCATAAGTGGGAAGAAAATGATGCTAAAAAGGATTAGTAGACGTGAGTGAAACAGCTGACTTGTATACTGCGAGCTCAGTTGAGAGTGTAAAAAAACCCTAACAAACCCTTTTGGGCTACCATTAAAATCTAAAACCTTTTTTTTTTTTTTTTTTTTTTTAGTAAGAAATTTTCCCTGCTGCAGTTAAATTATGCTAGAAATCCAAAAAGATATTTTACACAATCTTCAGCGAATCAGAAATTTTGACCTTTTTTTCTCATCTCTCTTAATGTAAATAGTATTAAAACAGCTGTATTTACTGTTTTAAAAATGTTGTTCATTATCTGTGTTATGGTATTTGAAAGTATATTTATATTAATTGCTGTATTCTTTTAGGTATACACTTATCTAATAATAGGAAATAATAGCCATTCTAATACAGAAAAGAGTGAAAAAGTCCTCCAGTTGTTTCAATTTTTAAATCTGTTTTTGAGTAAAGAACATGGAACAGCTAAGCGGTCGTTGAAATTTTTTATTCCTAGAACTGTTACATTTAAACCATATCTCACAGTTGTTAGTGATGATGAATCATCTCTGTCTTTGTTTGACATTTATAAGCAGGTATTTAAAATTAAACACTAGTTTTTTTTTTTTATTTGTTCTCTGTTTATTATCTTTAAATGTTAACTTGTATGCTTGCAAATGTTTGTAATTTCTGTAACTGCAACTTTGCATAATCTATCAGTGAATGATATACATGTCTATTACATGAGTATATGTTTATGTACAATATGTGAAAATTACAAAATCTTTTTATTTGATCTTTGGTACCTATATTTTCGTTTACGAAAATGTTATACTCCTTTTAGACGAAACACAAAAAATATATAAAAATATATATAACACTAGTAAAAAGTAAAACACAGGAAGGATAATTTCCATATGAACAAAATTGATTGAGATATTGAATTTCAAAATTTGCCATTTCTGACATCATTTTCAACTAGCATTGAGTGTTCAGTTAATAAATAAATTAAGATAACTTGAGGTTGATGTTTTCTTCCATAAATGCTATTAATTAATATTTTTTGGAGATTTACTAGTGTCTTTACATATAATTTTGTTACATTTGGTATGCTGAAAGAATTTTTGCAGAAGTAAGTACTCAATAAGAACTTAGTAAGTAGTAATAAGAAAGTGGTAATAAGAAACTTAATAAGTCACTTAATAAGCAGTAATAAAAAAGTGGTTAATAAGATTTCAAAGTGTAATGCTACATTATTCATTTATTCTATTCTAAAATGTTATTACTTTAGAATAATAATCTGGTAATTGTAAAAAATTCATCAAAATAAAAATATTTTTCATTTTTAATTAATACAAATAATATTACAAGTTGCATGTGGGCCAATAGTGAGACCTGCCAGTTTTTTGGATCATGAATTCCATAAAATTCTGTGAATAAGATGTCCTTTGGGGGGGGGGGAACAATCAATATTTTCCACAGTTATTTACATAGAGATGCACTTCACTTAATCTCTTAGCAACAGAAAAACCATTTTTCTAAATAATATTTTATTTTTAGTTATGTAAAAATGCAAACATTTTGCTCCTCAGTTTGTAATTTCTAAAACATGGATCTTTACATCATTTGAACCATTTTTGTAATTGCAAGTATATGCTCAGCGGTTTCAAAAATAAAGTTGGGTAAGGACTTTTGTTGACACGGAGTATAATTCTTACTTACTGTTTTATAAGTAGGATATAAAGATATATTGTCTTTTTTTTTTTTTTTTTTTTTTTTTTTTTTTTTTTTTCCAGATCAAAAGCCAAGTCATTTGCATACTGCTGTTACAAAAACTCTGAACAAATATTTCATGAAACTTATTTTAAGAGTGCGAAATTTTGTTATGCTAATTTACGTTATTACCATAAACTAGCAATATAAAACACTGTGTGTGAATTTTTTATATAAGTGAAACAAATTTTATTAGGTAATGAATGATCATTATTTAAGCTATTTTAACATCAGAATTACCAAGATGGGTCACCCATGACCCAGACTTGCTTTGTTGTCCATATCATTTTTGCTTTTAAAAATTAAGAATTATGAATTTTTAACTTTTGCTATATATTAAAAATTATTCCTATAACTAAAATATGTTGAAATTTAACCACTTAATGACCGAATTTGTATTAAAAATTATGTCAAAAATCCCTGATTTTTTTAATACTCTACAGATGTCACTAGATGTAGCTTTTGTAAGGGGAGATCTTTTTTTTAAACAAGATATTTATTATGGTTCATGGCATTACGCAATTAAATCAGGCTTCAATGAAGCAGCCAAAAAAAAACATAATCTAGCAAAGTAATACAGAACTGTGGTCTAGGTAATAAGAGCTAAACTAAAAATCAAGTAAATACATTTTACGATCTATAAATGTTATTGACAGTATGGTACAGTCTGAAACATGGTGGAACACATAATGCCACATCACAGTCTGGACAACAATACCGCCATTATGGCTCAAGGGTAATCACTTCGAGTGGGTAATCACAAAAGCCACTTGGATCCCTCTCACAGCTAAGAAAACATGTGCATGGCAGAGTGTTTGATTGCCACGGGATATTATGGGCGATGGCATTAAATATCCATAAAATTTTCAGCACTCGAGTTAACTCATTTATAGGAAAATCTAAATAGCATCTGTTTCGAGATATCTCGGGCGTGGTCGTTAAGCAGTTAATGACTGTTTTACAATTTACAAGGCCTTTTGATTAGAATTACAATGGCAGATCATTTCTGACCCAAGGTAGATAAGATCCTTTGATTACTTCACTTACCTTTTATTCATTGTGGAGCAATGTTAGAAAATGTATTTTGCCCTGTGTGCCATGAGAAAGAGGAGTTCTGAAGAAGGGGAAAGGAGGAGCAGAAATGGGTTCAGTTGATTGGAATTGATATCTGCAATTAGGTAACATGTTTCAAATACCTTACAAAAAGCTGGAAGATGTATATCTTACTCAAGAAAGTAATTTTTCTGATGACAGTCCTGTAACTTCTTGAAGTTTCCTCATAAATGATACGATTCTGAACACAATAAAGCAAGATCTAAGCCTAACGGCAATGTACGAAGTATTTCTTTTGTTGAATTGTATGCTGTCATTGCAATGCTTTATACAAGGTATGGCTATTAATTTCCAGAACAGCTCTAATAACATCAGAACAAGATGATGTGAGAAGGGTAATCTTTTAATATGTTTCGAAGTAATCACCACCTGCCATAATACACTTCTGTGCTTGGCTGTATAAGTTGTGGAAACAACTTTTAAAGTCCTCTTTTGGAAGGCTCTTCAATGTCGACGTCACATTCTTTTTGATGTCTTCAACATCCACAAAGCGTGTTCCTTTGATCATGGTTTCGAGTTTGCCAAATAAATAGAAGTCTGTGCGGGCAAAGTCAGGAGAATATGGTGGATGGTATAGCTCCACAACCTCATGTTTGGCCCAAAACCGTTTCACTGGCAACGCAATGTGGGGGCAGGCATTGTCATGCAACGTGACATCGACATTAAAGAGCCTTCCGAAAGAGGACTTTAAGAGTTGTTTCCACAACTTATACAGCCGAGCACAGAAGTGTATTACGGCAGATGGGGATTACTTCGAAACATATTAAAAGGTTACGTTTTTCACATAATCTGTTCTGGTGTTATTAGAGCAGTCCTGAAAATTAATAGCCACACCTTGTATTAAAAGGGGGCATTAGTATTAGCAAAAGGCTATGAAGTTATTAAATATTCATTTCTCATAAATTGGTTATCTAAAATGTGCTGTGTGTACCCTTTATTTAACTCACATAGCTATGAAATGGTTTAATGAAAATTAAATTTTCATGTAATGATGAATGAAATAATGAAATTTTCATATTCATCATATTTTCCATATGATGGCCAACTAACTTTTTTAATTTGGTAGAATATTTGGAGATAAGTCTGCGAGACGATTATTCATTGAATGGTAAGAAATTATCGTATGTACCTGCATATAAGTCAAAAATTTTAAGGGGGGGAATCAAACTTCAGAGTAAGGGATTAACCAATACACAGACCCTAAAATAGAGATTGACAGCAATGGCCGCGGATGATCAACATCGGTGAACTTGATTATTAAATATATCTTTCACACAGGAAAAATATACTCTTTAGTTAATGTAAACTTATCGAATATCTTGATCGTACACATTGCTTTTTTTACTTTTCCTGCTTTCCATAATGTCTGATTTATTGGAATCTACAAAAAGCATCTCTTTCAAGAGCCACACACTCCTTACAATGAGTTATGTAAAGCAAAAGAGAATGTCTTACACTGTGAAATGACAATTGAAGAAATAGAATTAAATTCTTTGAAAATTTTGTATATATATTTTTAAATTTTATCATGTGCTAAAATGGAAATAAACAAAAATTTGCTAAATCGTGAGTGAAAACTTATCAAGAACTTCGGCATGCCGTTTTATCAGCAGTGATGGCACTGCTGATGTGACAAGTTTGTTTTTCCTAAAATTTTTCTCAAAATTGTGGGGACGAGTTGATTTATACACAAGTATATATGATATTGTTTTTCTTTAAAACAGGAACTATGGGGACGAGTTGATTTATACACAAGTATATATGATATTGTTTTTCTTTAAAACAGGAACTATGTCAAAATGTCAGGCTAAATTTTCAGCCACTTCTTACAATATATAAACAGAATGAATGACACTGTAATTTCATTTAGATTGCTCTTCCTTTCAAACCATAACTCATTTTCCAGCATGCGTTAACATTTTAATGATGGAGCACTCCAACTGGTATCCTAAATAAAATATATACCATATACAGGGAACAGGAGTTGTTGTTTTGTGCGGAGGCGTTTTCATAAAGTAGGGGAAAAGATTAATCATTGTTTTGAATTTTTGTGGGTACTAACTTAAGTAAGAAAATGTTTAAATTCAGCATGTGCACATTTTTGCAACAGACCTTTTAGTGTTTATGCATCACGATGTCATTTTTGCACATAAAATGCCAGTTTATTTTCATCATGCATATAAGCTCTATTTTGAAGTCGTCAAAGAAGCAGTAACACTGCAGAATGAAAGAAATTTCTGAATAGCTTACTTTTAAACTTCTGTAGAATTATCTGTTTTATGATGATGTAAAATTTATTTTTTTAGTTATAAAGAACTATTCAAAATAGATTCTATGTTAAAAAAAATGCATAATATTTTTTATGTTTAATTTAGAACTGTATTGAAATGTCAAGGGAGTTTGATGCTTCAGTTACTTCCTATTTTGAGATGGTGTGTTCTAAGCCAATAAATCCATATAAAGACACAGAAGAAATGTTGAATATTTTCCAAAGCGTGCAAGAAAACTTAGTACCTGTAAATCTACTAAAAGAATGGATTCAAAATACCTATCCTGGTGCTTCAGACTACTTTGTATTTAGGAAACAGGTAATGTCTGATCTTTTTTTTAGGGGGGGCCATATGAGAAGTATCTGTTCAGTTATGACTGTGGCAATGTATTTAACTTGCATCTAATCCATTTATTTAGTTAATTATTAGTGTTAGTTGCTGCAAATTTCAGTTTATCATTTTCAGATAAACTGAAATACATATTTCAGATATTTTACTGCAGATTTTATTTATTTCAGTATAATGTTTATGATAAAATGTATATTTGTTGTTAAAATTTGTCATTAAAAATGAATATGTATGATATAAATATATATGAACTATTATTTAAAAAAATCTCATGTGAACACCACATGACTTCCTTGTAAGGCCTATTAAATTATGCACATTTTTTGCTCCATTTCATTTAAACTTATTTCCCCAAATTTCATTAGAGATGTATTTCTCATTCAATAAATTCAGTTCTCATTCTGAGCCAAGGAGAAAATGCATAAAAATCCAAAACATCTTCATTAAAAATTCTAAAATACAGAAAAACCTAAAACTCCAAATAGAGTTAAAAACCATTAAAAAATTTTTACAATTAATATTGAAGTTTAAATTAATTAAAATTAGGCAGAAAGACAAATCTTTCAGTGCACAAAACATTTGGCCCCACTTAGCAGAAAGATACTGAAATTGGTGCAGAAACTGATTTAATTCTTTAGGCTACTAAGTTTCAAGTGTAAACAAATGGTGGATGTGTTAGACTTAATGAAACTTTAAACAACTTTTAAATTGTTGATAATTCTACAACTATTGCATGCAAATTAACTGAAGGCATAAAAACCTTAGCCAGAACAATTCAATCATTTTTAAAGCAAGAAATGCACAATTTAGCAGCATATAAAAACTCTTAGCTCATTGAGCTAGGTAACAGAGTGAGTAAAATATAAATAAATATGTAAAGTGTAAAAAAATACGATGGCTTTGCTCTACACGAACCAGCAACCTTTATTGATTTTCTGCAATTTTGGATCTTCCCCTTAGACCAGTACCTTCTAGAATTTGCTAGCCTATTACGTAACCGCTACTATAAATAACGAATACATGCCATTTGCATCAGAAGCTCGCCTCTCCTCCTTGATTTATCTTTCTAATGAGGCATAAAGTTTAAATTCAGTCGTACTTGGTTTAAACTACTATTGAATATGTGATTTAGAGAATTTCATATGAAGTAAAGCATGATCTACAGTAAAAATTGAATTAAAGCTATGGAATAAAGATTCATCATTAGAAGCTAAATCATCTTGCCTTATCAATTGGGTTTTGTCTTACCGCTTGGGCAAAAACCATGCCTGAACTTTGATGCCAAGCTTCACCATGACTGCTGAAATATCACATATATGTATATGTATATATGCATGTTTTATATATGGTTTTGGTGTGGCCGATTGCAACCAAAAAAAGAGATGCTCATCTACGTGTTACTGCAGTCCTACATACAAAATTTCAACATTCTGGAGCTTCTCTTTTCTGAGTTATGCGAGATACATACATATGTACAGGCGTCATGAAAAAATCTTTACTGAATCCATTTTAAATCAATTTGACAATTTGTTTTTGGAAAAAGAGTGCTTTATTCTGTTTGTATATACAGATGTAATGCAAAAACATGGTTCAAATGGAATCGAGAGTTGTCAAAATGGGTATTTTCTTTGAAATACGATACCCCAAATTTTTCCCAATTACATTACTTCCTTTACTTCATACAAGGGAATAAAAAACAGAAGAAATTATTTATGTTTCTGTTCTTTAGAACATTCATATCATAGTTCTTTTGGTATGTATGTAACTTTCTTCTGAAATTTACTGTGTCTAAGGTGGAATTTCACCCAAGTTTAAAACTGGCATACAAATTATATTCACTTTCTAAAGCTTCCAAAGTGTAAAGTGCATGTATGTTTTACTAACCCTTCAAAAGAAAATTCTTTAGAATAAGCAGTTTCTGTTTTATGCTGTTTACACCATTCTCTGTAATTAAATCATAAATATTTAAGAGATAAATTAAATCTGTCTGTATGAAATTCATGAGACATGTTCTACAAAGATAAAAATAAATATTTTATTCCCATTGTTTTCCCCCCTTATTTAGTTTGTGTTGTACTTCTCACTTGCCGCATTTGCAGAATATGCCTTTCATCTTACTCTGCAGAGTCCTGATATGATGTATATTCATAAGGATACAGGTGTAATAAGTAACATTTCTTTCAAGTTTGAAAGCTTAGAAGGTATGTGTATGAAAATAATTACTAGCTCTCTAGCACATATTAACTTTCATAATAGTAATTGATTATTTTTCACTAAGGCACTAAAGCTTTCTATTGTTTAAAATTGTAGATTAAAATATTGTGTCTTTTTTATGCATCTTTAATATTAAATGTAAATTAAATGTACATTGGTTTAGCTACTAGCATATAGCATGTAATTAACTTGCTGTTATATACACATTCTTTAGTGTGGTTGCCTCAGGATATGTTTTGTATTTGATATAAATCATATTCAAATAACAGTAAACCAACAAATTAAATGCATTTATTACATCAAATTATTATGTTAAATGCATTTGTTATATCAAAAATATGTATCTGAAATATAACATTTTTTATACTCTTGAGTATAATATTAATGAGTCGTATAACTTACAGTCCACAGTCTTAATGTATTAATTACAGTACTTATTGAGCTGTAAAATTGCTGGACATTGGTAATTTGACTGGGTTCAAATCTTGGTGAATGGGCTAGCTGCATAGGAGTTTTCATGGTTTTGCATGAGTAAAACGGATATAAGTCAGTTTCCGTTAGAAGCCCTCACCCTCATATGATATGCCATAACCCTTATAATCTAAATCCAAATAAGTTATGAATATTAAATGATTTTAATGTTAAGTTTTTTATGCTATTTCATACCCAATTATTTAATCAGTAGCATCATCAGCTTCATGTGAGTGTGTTAAATCTTGAAATAGTTATCATCAGATACTTTAATTCCATTAAAAACTATATGTAGAAAATACACTTCAGGCATTAAAAGCTTCATATTTTTATAATTTTCTTAAACTAAGTATACTTTTAAAAGAGGGGGTGACAATAGTTAAAAGTTATGTTCCTTGATAATATATCTGCATTGATAAAATTTTCAAAATGATTTTACAAAATATGCTTAATCTTAGAAATGAAATATTTTTAAACCTCATTAATAATTAATTTTTGAAAATATTTCTCTGTTATTAAAAGATTTTTACTGTTTATACTATTATTTTTTTCTGAACAGACTGTTTAATATGTTAAAACTTTAAAAATGTAGTATAATGTTCTTTAAAATGCAAAATTCATATAAAATTCAAGAATTTATGGTTATGTTTTAATAAATGCTTTTGAAAGTTTTGTTTCAAAATTCAGGTTTCAATATTTTGTTCCTAAATCTGTTATGAAGGTTTCAGGTTTTGCCCTACAGATCAGCAACTTGAATCAGATTTTAATGCCCTATTTTAAATGAACTGTTTGTTTTAATAAGTAAAATTATTTTTTGATTACTCTTGGTTATTTTATTAATGTAATAAGCAACATTTCTTTCAAGTTTGAAAGCTTAGAAGGTATGTGTATGAAAATAAGTACTAGCTCTGTATGTTTTCCCCTCTGAAGCAACTTTTTTTAGGTGTGCTGTAAATAAAAAATTAATGTACACAAACTTAGTTTAATTTAATTTAGAAAATTGTATGTTGCATTTTTATCAAGGAAATAAGCTTAACAATTTTATACTTGTATTTCATGAGTTTTAGCAATATAAGTTGAAAGATAAAATGTTTATTTTCTTGTTTAAAACATAGCTGTGGGGCATTTAATGAAGGAATAGTTTTTTTTAATTATTATTATTATTATTATTATTATTTTGTATACTTAAAACTTACTAGAACATGATGGAATTGCATTGTGAAAAAGTTTTTTGTATAGAGACAGTCAAAATTATCTGCAGCTGTAGTAGAAATAACAGAAATGAAATAGAAAGCATGAATGCTGATATTCCGAAAAGTCTTTTAAGAAGGTATTTAAGTGAAAACAAAAAACAAAGAAAATGTTTTTATGTTATAGGATTTTAAAAAAATTCCTGAAAGTAGCAATAGTTTGTCGATATTGCCAAAGGAAGTAATTAAAGCTGTTTGGTTCCAAATAAAGTAGTTAAAATTTGAAATGTTTCATTTGTTATTATAATGCATTTTTATTAAATATGAAACTAAGTGTGCAAGTTTGTATATGTGTTTATTTAAATAAACACAAGTTTGTACAGTCAAAAGTCGTTAATTCGGACACCCATAATCCGGAATGATCTATAATCCGGACCTCAAAGCTAAAAACTTTCTGTGCATGCGGCGCGTTGGCACATGCGCACAGACGTTTTACGCGTGCGCGTAAGACCTTGACTACTGCGCAAGTGCAGAATACGTTTTCGCCTTCGTGTTTAATGTATAACGGACGGTGTAAGCTAAATTATCTAATTATCTATTTCAGTTAATGTTAATGATTGCATTGTTCCTTAATCTTCGAATTGGATCCCGCTTATTATTTTTTGCAGACTGTAAGAGCAATTTTATAAAAGTAAACTTGAACTTTCGATTATGTCAAATAGAATTTCCGATGCTGGAACTTCCAAAGGATCTACAAAACGAAAGTATGTTTCGATGTCCAACAAACAAAAAGTGGAATTGCTTCAAAAAATGGATAAAGACATGAAGAATGTGACAGAGAGGTTAGTGAAAACGAAAAAATTTCGATTGACAAGTTAGTCGGTATTCTCGGCACAGCAATTAACGGGACTTGAACAGCGGAACTTTGTAACTGAACAAGAAATTATGTCTGTTTATAGAATTAAAGAGAAAGTATTATCACATAAAACGAAGCAACTTAAACAACTTACATTGAAAGAAATGTTTAATAAATTAAACAAATAAATATTAAGCTTTTTTTTTTTTTTTTTTTTTTTTTTTTTTTTTTTTTTTTTTTTTTTTTTGTAAATTTTGATACCCTTTAGATCATAATTGTTCTTTATTTCATAAATTACGGTTTCATATTTTTAATTTTAGAATTTCTGCATGCCATATTACGAGATTTAAACTGATGATCTATAATACGGAAAAATCCATAATCCGGAATCGCCGAAGTCCCGACGAGTCCAGATTAACGACTTTTGACTGTATATGTGTTTTTTTAAATATCTGTTTATGACTAAACATTGGAAACTTCTTGAACCTTTTGCATGACAGTGTAAGTAATATAATATAGCATCCATAATAATAAAAATAAAATCTTAAAAAATTGTAAATTAAAATTGTAAAATCTTAAAAAATTTGTCATTTATTATGATTTTTTATTAAGAGTTTGTTTTATCATACATGTAATGAATATTTTATAAAAATTACTTAAACTGTTTTTAATTTTTATGATTTTAATATGTACTTAAAGTTTTTTTTTTTTTAGATAATGTACATACAGTTCGACCTGTGCCTTTTCGTTTGACACCAAACATTTCCCATTTTGTTACACCTCTTGGAATTAGAGGTGTTATGATTGCAGTGTTGTTAGCCACTGCTAATTGCTTCAAAAAGCACAGAAAGAGCATTCAAGAACTTTTTCAAGTTATTTTAAAGTATGAAGTAATCAATAGCGAAAAGGTAGGTGTAGGCAGTGTTATACAGCATTAATGTTACATGCAATTTTAAATGCATTTTATATTTTTTGCTATTCATTTATTGTGGCAATATGTAAGGTGTCTTCTCAAACTGCAAAAGAAGATATAGTTTGGATTCTGATTTTTTTTTTTTTTTTTTTTTTTTTTTTTTTTTTTTTTTTCTCTATTCTTGATCAAAATTTATAATGAAACTGAGAAACATTTTTTGCCTTCACTGGCCAAAAGCCTGTGGCAACCATGACTTTTAGAGAAATCCATAAATCATTCATGAAGTCCTTGCAGTGTCAATATCTTCAGACTTGTGGAAGCATATAATGCTATGCTAGTGGTTGATTTTGTAAAACATGTGAACATTGGTTGTTCAATATGCATTCAACACCCAGTGAATAGACTGGCTGCATTAGAATGTTTTGTGAACCACCTAATTCTCGTCGCCTTCAAGCACAATTTATTTAGAATATGTTACTACCGGTATATTCATATTTTTAAAATACAATTAAAATGCATTTCATTTTGTTGGGTTTTAAAAAAAGTTTCCCGCCACCACAAATATCGTTTTAACAAACAGTTCACATTGGCATTTTTAATCATATTTTATCAAACGATTTTTGGCATTTGAAAGAAAGAGACTTGCTGTAGACTTGAGAATTTGCTGTGTTGCAAAATTCGTAAAAAAAAAAATAAATAAATAATAAAAATAAATAAATTAAAAAAAAAAAAAATATCATTAAGTACTATCAGGGTCAATGTTCCTTCTAACCTTCTTCGGGAACATACAAGGACCTGACTCGGAACAGAGAGATTACTAAAGCTATGTTCACTAATTGTGGTAAGTAGACAAGATACAGACGAAGGGTATACAAAACCCTTTATTTTTCTCTATATACAATAACTTCCGTACTTCGGAATACACTGACCCGCCACTGGGGGTCTAACGTAAAAGTATAAAAATAAAACTAAACTCTAATTTAACTTTAGAATAATACACGTGGAAGATTGGCCTTATAATAACAGGAAGCGTATGTAGCACAGAGACTGTGAACACTACAATACGTTTAAATTTATCAAGAGGATTAAAACCTCTGGCCTGGAAGGCAAACAGCAACTGCGTATCTTTTAAGGTAAGCGGCCTGCTTTGACTCAACTGCTTCCTCTCTCTCGCTTGGCAAAAGGCCACAACTTAAATACTTGGTGTTCGCCAGACAAACTTTGCATAAAAACCTTCACGCTTATAATTCTGGCCGGAAGTAGAAAATAAGAAGTGATAGTAAAGATTTAAAATAAAATAAACGTTAGTAAAACTTAAGATCCTTACATACTTCTTCCCGCCAGAGTTAATTAGTTTGAAACTGAGGTCTAAAATGACCTTGTTGAAAACTTTTAGCTCTAGAATCTAACGCGAGGCCAATCTTTTACAAACACACTTCGCTAGAAACTAGAAATTTAAAAGAAAGAAATTTGTTACAATAGCAGCTCCCAGGATATACAACAATCTTTTTTCATCTGTACTGCATCTAAACAGGAGCTTTTATTTTATTCAATTCTGGTTCCTTCCAGAGATCTGGAAGGAAAACTAGTTTAATGAAATGTTACACAATTAAATGGCAAGTAACATATACAATTATACTTCTCTTAACATTCTTATTTCATTCATGACTATTTTAATTATCTCTCCCCGTGCTCTCTGACATGTGTTGTAAAAGAACACCAAACACGAATGTGTTTCTGTCTACGTGTGCCACACTTCCTCCTACAATCAAAACACTAACGTGTTAAAATTCAACATAACGAGACCTCTTAACACACCCTAATTTCAACTCTAAACCCTGAGGTACTATTCTAAAAGTGGCTAACTCTAAAGTGTAGCGTCAGAGAGCCTAACTACATCATTCAACCTTTACCACATATTCGCCATGATTTAGTCTTTACAGTCACACCACGAATAACAAATTTTTAACATTACTTTCACTTTTACCATATCACGGTATTTCTTAACCATTTAAAATAACAGTTCACATTGTATATAAGAACATATCAACATGCTGTTAATTTTACACATTTGAAAACATACATTAGTAGTACCTTGTTAACTTCTATTCTTTTCAAAGCAAGTGCCAATTCTTTATACATTGAAATAATACATTTCCAAAACGTCTTTCAGACTAAAACTTCTCTCTTGCTAGAATGTTTTAAAAAAAATTTATACAATAACTTTTTACAATATTTCTCCTCTGCTTGTGGTCTTGGCCGTTTGATGGCAGCTGGTCTTGGCGGAACCGGGAAACTTCTGTCGTGTTCCTGCTTGGACCTCGTTGTTGGCCGTTCAAATTTTCCTTGTACTTTTTCCTTTTTCCTCCGCCGCTGATGCCCCTTCCACAGTTCGGCGACTTTTGCTGCGGAGAGTTCTGTCGGATGAGTAGATCTTCCGTTTTAAAGCCGGGTTATAGTTGCCGTCATTTCTCCTGGTTCTCTTCACATACGTCGTCCTTCTCCCTTCTTCATTCTGGGGGTGTTCGTGAACTCTCTTTTCTGGACAGTGGAACGGCTTCTTTTTCTTGTTACCTTCAATTTTTCCGCAGGGCAATTTTCTTTTGACTTGCTTCTGTCTCTTATAGGCTTGCCCTTGTACTTGTCGTTTTTCCACCTCTGGAGCTTGTACCTGCGGTGTCTGCCGTGCCGGATCCTGCAAAAGATCTGAAAAGATTTGCATTTTATTACGATCGAAGTAGGGCTTGATTTCATCAATGTTTGCGGAACAGGTTTCACCATTTCTGGCTTTTAACACTACAACAGCGTGAGTTATTTTTTCTATAACATATGGTCCTTCAAATCGTGGAAAAAAATTTGGCAGTTTTATCTTCTGGTGCTGAAGAAAGTGAATGTTTTAATTTTTAAATTAAAACTTCATCCCCTACTTTATAAGTTACTACTCCCCGTCGTTTCAAATCATAATATAGCTTCTGTTTTCTTTGTGCTACTTCCGTATTCTTTTTTGCTTCTTTTATTAGTTTTTCTATATCACCCATTTTAAATTCTGGGGCTCTTCGTTGCACATAAAATAATTTATCTAACGGTGTTATAATCTTTCTGCCTAGAAATAACTCAGCAGGAGTTTTGCCCGTTGTATCATGTTTTGCGGTCCTAAGGGCGAAAGCAAATTCATTGAGATAGTTATCCCAGCTTTTATGAAAATTTTTAACATAACTACGGATAATTTTCACTATATTTCTATTGACCCGTTCCGCTATATTTGATTGCGGCCGATACGGGACCATTTTTAAATGACGTATGCCCAGTTTTTGGCACGTCTTCAAATATATTACTTACAGATTGAGGACCATTATCCGATATAACTTTTAGGGGCGCCCCGTATTTTAAAATATATTTATTTAAAATAGAATCAGTAACTAATTTCGCGGAGGGTCGTTTTAAGGGAACAATTTCGGTCCATTTACTAAAATGATCAACCATAACAAGGAGATAGCGACTTTTAACTGACTTTTTGGGAAAGGGCCCAATAAATCGATGCCAATTATTTCATTTGGAAATTCGGATTTAATATTATTTAGAATCCCGGCCGGTCGGAAATTAATATAATTAACTGCTTGACATGTTGGACAGGACTGGACATACGCCCTTGTTAACTTTTGCAGTTCAGGAAAGTAGACTGCCTTGCGTACGCGTTGGATAGTTTTTCGAATACCAGCATGAGAAGCTAAAGGGCTGTCATGGAGCTCCTGCAGGATATTTAATCTAAGACTAGCTGGGATAACAGGTCGAAATTCGTTGTTTTGGAATTCTTAGTTTTTGTATAAAATAATAGACCATCTATTAGTTCGTAATGGGCCGCCCTATTTCTTATCGCCACAATATCTTGGTGGCTAAAATTTCAGGATCCTTCAAATACTCATAAATGCTTCCAAACTCAGGATCCTTACCCAGTTCGGTTATTACAGTTTCTCGGGAATTTATTGTACATGCTGTAAGCATTGCCATCTTTACGGTATTGCCTTCTTCGTCTATTTTAATCCTTGATAGCGCATCTGCTACGATATTTTCCTTTGCAGGGGTATGCTTAATTACCAGATTATATTCTTGCAGCTTGAGTCCCCATCTTATTAACTTTGGGGATAAATTTTTCCCTGAGTACAATCTAGTTACCGCCACATGATCAGAGTATACTGTTATCGGCGCCTTTCCAAAATAGACTCGGAACTTTTGCACTGCTAACAGAACTGCAAGTGCCTCTCTCGCGGAATAGTTTCTTTGGTCGCGGAATAGTTTCTTTGTGTTTGATTTAAAGTTCGGCTAAAAAATGCCACGGGCTGCTGATTTTGCGAAAGTACCGCTCCTACCGCATAATCCGAAGCATCCGCTGAAATTTCTAAATTCTCATCCTTTTCAGGAAATTTCAACACAGGGGCTTGCGTTTAATGCTTGTTTTAATTTTTCGAAAGCACTATTGGCTTCGGTCGTCCACGAGAATCTTGCCTTTTTCCTTTTAATTTTTTTTAACAATGGCTCAGCGATAGCTGCAAAATCTTTTATAAAGGACCTATATATGAACAAAGTCCTAGAAAAGAAGAGGAGCTTCTTTGCCGTGTTTGGAGTCAGATACTTTTGTACAGCGATTATTTTTGATTCATCTGTCTCGATCCCTTTTTGAGATATTTTGTAACCTAAATATTTTAATTCAGGGGCTGCAAATTTGCACTTTTCGACATTAACTTTTAGACCGGCCTCATTTAATAAAGAAAACACCTGTCTTAAATCCTGTACATGTTGGTCGAGATTATCACTAGTAATAATGATATCGTCTAAATAGATAAATGTGGACTTTCCAAGAACAGATCTTAACACAATGTCCATGCATCGCTGAAATGTTGCTGGGGCCCCTGAAAGGCCAAACGGCATATACCGGATATTTCGTTATGGAATTTAATTTACGGTAATCAATAGCGAATCTCCACCTTTTTGGATGCT